CCCCCCCCCCCCCCCCCCTTTATAAACCAGTTATTTAACTCGTGTGAATGAAAACATGTCCGTTAATCTTCTGTTGTTGTGAATCAGAAGTCGCCCTGCAGGTTTCCAACAGTCAAAGTCTGCATGTGTCGTGTTGCTGCAAGCAATGGAAACCAAGTGGAGGATGCTCTGTGCAGAGCAACAGCACTCACTACACTCATTATGGGATGATCACTGATCATGAGGGAAACGAATGCAGAAGAAACTCGTGTCACAGATGAAGTAGTTACGGGGCTGAATGTACCAGAACGAGTATCTTATGTGAGCCTTTAAGTTGGCACGTTATACGTTCACCTCACAGGAGACCCACAGTCACTGCGATGCTTTCTTTGCCCTCTCTGGCTGCCAGTGAGAGACGTGCGTACGTAGCATATCATAGACACATGGACACATCGACGGTAAACATAGAAGTGTTGTGAACGTTGCAAAATGTGGTTTAGCATCATGAAAATGAGTTAGCGAGGGCGTTGGCTAACGTCGGCTGCTAAATCAGGTCTGAGTGTGTTGCTGAGATACAGAAAGGGTTGAGAATGCTATTTCAGTGTCACAACGTTCAGAGGACATGTGGCTTGGTGAAAATATTTAATTTGGTGACGATAGAGCTATGGGCTATGAACAATCGTCATAATCTCTGTTCACCTTCATTACATTGCAGTCATTTAGCAGACGCTTTTATCCAACGCAACTTACAATAAGTGTGTTCAACATCGGTATTCAAGAGAACTAGTCACCAGAAGTGCATCTCCTTTTAAACAAGCATCTAAGAGCATCCATCGGTGTGATGGACTCAGGACGCCCGCTGCTCTCCTCAGACGTTGGGGCGGCAGTGAAACCATGTGACACAGAAACAGGAAGCTGAAGCTCTGTTTGTAATCGTAGCTTGAGTCTCTACAGATGGAGCGTGCACGGAGGCGTGAATGCTAAATGTGCTGTTCATTGCATTTTTGCATCTCTGAAAACACCAGAGGACGAACAAACAAAACCAACTGTTAAGAATGAATGTAGAGGGTTTTTAATGATCTGTAAACTCATATTCATAAACTACTTTATTACCTTTGTACAAACTCTTTAAAGTCCAGTATTACATGTACTATAAAGAAACTAAGGTTGAACATCCTGTAAACTATTTGATTTGGCTGAAAGACATGTGTTCAAATGTAGGTTTTGAAGACGTATCCTCACACAACGCTTCATAGAATATCTTCTTTACTTCTTTTCAAAATATACTTGCGTCTTTACAGGAAACAAAAGTGCTTAGTTAGTGTTAGTAAAAGATCGTCACTTGGCTTAAGAGAACCGGGGGTTAAGTTACGTGACTAAAGCATCAACATTGACTTCTGGTTTCACGGCGCTCAGCGTGCTCTCCAGCGTGCTCTCCAGCGTGCTCTCCAGCGTGCTCTCCAGCGTCCAGCGTGCTCTCCAGCGCGCTCTCCAGCGCGCTCTCCAGCGCGCTCTCCAGCGGTCTTCATACTTCATCATGAGTTTGTGGAAGACATACGATGTCATTTTGTGTGATATCTACGAATGACGGACGTTGTGTTTTCGTAGCTTTAGCTACGTTGTGATATAATCACAACATACGATGATATTTATGATATCAGCAGATTCTCCGTTGCTTCAGTTCTCTGTTCATCCTACAAACATCCAGTTCAGGTTCCTCCTCCTCCTCAGCATCTTCACCACTAATAGATGAGTGCAGATCGTCGGTGTGAACTCAGTGGCCTTCTTCTCTGCTCGTGCTTCGTCCTTCCTTCAGCAGTCGACTCTCTGCTGGTTGTTGTTGGTGGATGATTGACAGCGGATACGAATAAAAACACACGAGCTGAAGATTATATCGACAAAGCCGGCTTTTCACAGCCAATGCTGATCAATGAATCGATGCAGTGAGTCTGCTCAGGACTCAACTGCTGTGAGGAAACAGTGTAGAGCTCTGTTGAGTCTTCACATTATATATATTTGTTATATATACTGTATATGTGTATAAATTCTTGCGTCTCTGAGTGAGCGTAGTCAAAGTCGATATCTTCTTACAAATATTGATGCAATATGCCCCCCCATTAGTGATTTAAGTGTCTTTACATCATGAAACATTTGGGAGGATGCACCGTGCTGTTACGTTTGACCTCCACTAGACATGTACAGTTGTAGTGGGAATATAGATATTCTAAAAAGCTTTTTGTTAATAGACAGGCGGCAACTTCCGGTTTTGACATTTGAATCCAAAGCTTCATGTGTTAAAGCTGCATTCTCTCTAGTGTCCACCAGGGGGCGACTCCTCTGGTTGTATAGAAGTCTATGAGAATGACTCTACTTCTCTCTTGATTTATTACCTCAGTAAACATTGTAAACATGAGTTTATGGTCTCAATCTCTAGTTTCAAGTCTTCCTCAATACAGCATGATGTTCATTTAGTACATTATGGTCCATTTAGAGTCACACAGACCATAAAGCAGGGGATGCTTTGGGGCGGGGCTACACAGTGATTGACAGGTCTCTACCAGAGACGTATACGGCGTCTCTACGTCACTCCTCCTAAGTCCAGATATGGTCACTTCCTGTTCACTGGTTGCAAAAAAACAAGATGGCGACGGCCAGAACGCAGAACTCGAGGCTTCAAAACATCCACAAACCAACGAGACGTCACCACAACTACGTCTACTTCTTGTAAACAGTCTACAGTAATAGAGGCTAAGCCCCTCCCCTTTCTGTTAACCACGGGACCTTATTTCACACAAAATATTAACAATATTAATAAAATTATCTTTCATAAATAATTAAATTAAAATAATTCAAACGGGATAAAACATTGCTCCAGGAAGGGGCGGGACTTGTTCTTTCTATTACAATTTGACAATATTTAGTTTATTATTTATGTTTGTTGCTCTCTGTCACGGACTGTAAAGAGACGACAAATATCTCAACCCTGAAAACAAGATTATCATAATTTAGTGAGAATCCTGTTCAGTGTTGATGCTCCTCACACATTAAGGAACAAATGTCACATTAAGTTTACCATTTAATAAAGTGAACTACGATCGTATCGTCACAATATGATTCTAAATGATGGTGAGTCATAACTCGGTGCGGCTCAGTCGTGGGCTTTGCCTCCGAATGTTGGATCATAATTAATGTGGCATGTCTCAGTGATCTGATTCCTGCCACGCAGTTTCCAATCTGCCAAAACCCCCCAAAATATGGGTGTCTGCAGCCGGCCCAGTCCGGTGTAATCCCTCTGTGGACACGACGATTACCCCGAGTCCATAATCTCCTCTCCCCCCCCACTGCTGATTTAAAGAGAGACCGTTTGTGTTCTCCAGCTCCGACTGGCCTCATTCCTCTCAGAGAAACAGATTTACAGGGTTGAAGGTCGGAGAATAGTTTATAAAACTCCTCCTCACAAGTTCCCCAACAAACAAAGTCGACACAGTCTTCAAAATGTCTCGTTCTGTCCGACCAACGGTCCAGAACCTCGAGAGGTTAATTCTGCTGTAATAAAAACTCCTCCAGAACCTGGAACCAAAGACTACGTAGAGGTTTTACTCAAACGCAGATATCTCAACAACTATTTAAAGGATTGTCATGAAATTCAACACAGACGTTCATGTTCCCCAGAGGATGACTCACGTTGACTTTGGTGATCCTCGGACTGGAGCGCCACCAGCAGGTCAAAGGTTCACTGTTAGAGGGGCGTGTTGGAGACCTAGAACTAGGAACTTTTTTTAGTCCTGATCCTCTATATGAACCAGTGCCAGATCCTCCAGCAGAAACCGGTCCACCATGGACAGACCCGACACCACGCTGCAGGAGACCCAGGACGTATTGCTGGACCCGCTGGAGGGGGAGGCACGAGAGAACCAGAACCAGGACTGAGAGGGTTCAGACTGTCAGACCTGCTGCAGTAACATGAGAGGTTCGAAAGGGAGTCTGGAGCTCAGAGACACTACCACTTTAGTCCACAGGGACCAACAGAACATGAAAGTTCCTCGTAGTAGCTTTGAGTAAAGGATCTGAATACTTCTTCACCTATTTGTACACGTGTTGTGTTTAAAGTACTTGTTAGCGCTGAGCCCTCCTCATCACAGCTGGTGAACAGGGAGGTTATCCTGAGTGTGGTGGACTGACTGACGTTATTCTGCTCTATGTGCAGGAGGGGGAACCGTTAGATGCTTTCACTGACAGGATAAAGTTTTCATAGTCATCTGTGTGAAGAAGAGAGTTTAACTTCACCAGCTTTTAAAGCTCTTTAAATGTTCCTGGTGCTTCAGTTTGCATCGGTCGTCATTAGACCGTTAAACCAGCGTTTTCATCCTCATCGACTCTGGGCGTGGTGAGTTCAAGGTCTGCGTGTTATCCTGGACGCTGTTTATGTTGCATGTTCTGATAGGTGTGGTCCTTTATTAGAGGTTCTCTGATCAGTCCCTGGGTCTGTCCTCTGACTCTAATGTGACTCAGTGAGCTAGAGATCATCACGATGAAGAACTCTCTGCTCTTGTTCTACTACATCTACTCAAGTACTCGACCACAATGTTGAGGTACTTGTACATCTTTATTTAACTTTAAACCTCATGTCTACTACATCTTCATTTATTGACAATATGAGTTCATAGTTCGGCTACTTCTCAGATTCTTACACTAAATATTATTTAACTAATACACAGCGATGTTTTATTAAGTAGTTTATATCCGAGTTAAATGAAATGACATTTTGAACGTAGGACTTTCACTTTAAGCTCCAGTCAATGATTTAATATTAAATGTATTGTTTTTGTCTCGAAGACACCTGTTTTGTTCTTCTTCTTCTTCTGTAGTTTTGAGAGCTGTGTGAATCGTAGCCTTTAACGTCGACTTCTGACCAATTGTAAAAATCTCCATATGTTATAAAAACGGTACAAACTGACTGAGAACGTTGTAGAACAAGTGAAGACTGAGTATTGCACTACGCAGACCGCCAAAATAAAATACTCATACTGACCACTGAGCCAAGTCAGCGTGAGATCAGGCACCAGCTGTAAGATGAACGTCTCTGTTCTCTGGTGGTAACACGGCGTCGTCATGTGATCGGTGTTCACTGTTCTTCTGTGACAGCGACGGTCAAAAGGTTTCAGACACGAGGATCTTTAACATCATTAGTCCTGGAGGAAGGTTTAGGGTTATGGGAGGAAGAAGAGTCAGATCGTCTCATGATGTACAAGTAGAACAGACACGAAGCTGTCACCAACTAACACATATTTAAATCGCCTCTATTTTCACCTGATTTATGTTAAAAAACGCCGCTTTTTACGCCGTTTAAAAACGTAAAAAACTCAGTGTTTTATGTTTTTTCCCTCATGGTCGTGAGCCCCTCCTTCTGATCTGCATAACCAGAAAGCCCAAAGCTTCTGTAACCAATTGGTGAACAGCAAAGCCAGATCAAAGAGATGCATCGATGGAACTGTTTGTTTTTCTTGTTTAAACCGCGTAAAAAGCAGCGTTTTGAAGTCTGTTTAAAGGCGGTTTTTAAATTATTATTTTTACCATCAATCAGGTGAAAGAGGCGTTTAATGTCACTCTTGGCTCCATACACTGCCCCCTCCCCCTCCTTATGAGTTAGGAAACAGCTCGCTGGTTTCACTGCAAGACAATCTCTCAACAGCCTCCCACAGTCCACAGGGGTCCTCTCTTTGGACATCAAGACCCCCCCCCCACACACACACACACTAACACACACACTAACAGGGGAAGCCTGCCCCGTAGTAAACGTATTCAGAGTTCAATAAATATACATGTACTGTAGAGGATTGGAGAAAAGGAAATCTCATGGACATTGAGATGCAACAGTTTATATATATGTATGTATGTATGTATGTATGTATGTATACATATATACATACATGTATGTATGTATGTATGTATACATATATATATCTACCACCATCGGTTGAACCTTTTTTTTTGGACGAAGATAAAGATGAGAACTTTAAGTGTTTTCACATCAAATGCAGTGTTAAAACATCTTGCCGGGTCATTTTATTCAACTAAAACGTGCTGATTTAATTGGTTAACATGTACCTGGATTGTGCATCAGAGTGAGACCTCTGTGGTTTGTTTTGGTCTGACTTTAAAATAGAATAACCGTCTTCTCGTCCTCGTCGCCACAGATATCCAGGAGTTTTACGAAGTGACCTTATTGGACAGCCAGAGATGGGCGGAGTCTTCCAAGGCGGCGGACCCCATGGCGCCCGTCCACCTGTGGGACTTCTCCAGCCTTCAAAGCACAACGGTGACCTCGGACACTCTGCCCAGCCTTAGCACCAGCATCGAGGTAAGAAGCCCCTCACCTGTCGGCCCAGTCATGTGATCTCTCTCTCTCTGTCTCTGTCTCTGTCTCTCTCTGTCTCTCTCTC